GCACATTGACAAACCCGTGATAGTTCATATGGTGGTTTGTAAAAGTATTTAAGGGGCACATATGGTGACCAAACAGCTTTTTCAGTCAAAACCACTTTTATATCTGGTTTAGGGGGCACATTGACAAATCCGTATAGTTCATATGGTGGTTTGTAAAAAAAAATAGTTTATATGGTGATGCGCCAAAACCGTGATAGTTCGGATGAGAAAAAGTATTTTACCCTTATAAATCCATAAAGGAGTACAAAGTATTGGTGGAATCTTTTATGGATTATTGACACCTTTTTTCAGCATTTTACTCCTTTTTACTTGAAAAATAGTTGAGGGGGTGGTCGAATTACTACTTAGGGCTGAGCGTGAGTCGATAAATCTTCGAACCGTACTAAAATTCAGAGATCTTAAATTTTGATTTCTGGAACCGTACTAAAAAGTCAGTTCAGAGATTTTTTTTCCGGTTCGATTCGGTATTCGGGACTATTAGGACGGTTCGATTCGGTTCGGTATGTTCTTGTTCGAATCTTCGAAGATTTCTTATTTTTTCGGTATGTTCTTGTTCGAATCTTCGAAGATTTCTTATTTTTTAAATTTTTTTTTGAATGACTACCAAGTTATATTTAAATTTTTTATATGCTTTAAAATAACAACATTTACCAATAATTCATCATATTGAAAATTTTATTTTGAAATCAATTTTAGAAGCAACTCTAAAAATTTTAGTTATTTAATTTTTATATGCTTTATTAAAACCAACATTCATCAATATTTCCTCATATTAACGATTTTATTTTGAAATCAACTTTAGAAGTAACTTTAAATTTAGTTAAGACTAAATTTGTGCAACTAATATTGGAAATTTAAAATTCAAACAAAATATAATATTTTTTTCTTAAAAAAAATATTCTTTAACCTTTCATATTATTTTAAATAATTATTTATAATAGAAAAAATTCAATTGTAGATCAAGTATTGATAAACATGAAATTTAAGTGAAGGTTAACAGTTATTACTATACTGTATAGGATCAAAGTTGACATAAAATATATTAATAATACATCTAATGTTATAATTCGGTTCTTAATTTCGGTTCGGCACGATATGACGGTTCGGTTCGGTTCTCGATACGGATATTTGTAAAATCTCCAGAACTGTGCCAATTATTTTTTGGGTTCGGTTCGGTTCGGTTAGGTTCGGAGAAAGTCAAACGGTCAACGGTTTTTTTTTCGGTTCAAAGTGATTTTGGTTCGGTTTTAAGAACGGTTCGAAATTCTCCGAGTCCCATGCTCAGCTCTATTACTACTCTTCCTCGAAATTTCTTTCACAAGTGATCAATATAACTGTTATATAAAATGAGTCATTCGTTAGCTTTCAAATAGGCTGATTCTTCGAGCTTGTTTAAAGTTTATTTATATTTGACTAGTTTATAATACTCGAAAATATAACCCTTTAAGTAATAAGACTCGAGTCTGAACTCCAGTATCAGGAGCTTGAGTTCGGCACAACTCATTACCTCCTATACTATAATCTCGTTACGTGTAAGCCAGTATAATTGTTGGTTGTCATAAATTCAATGATACACATATTAAAGGGCATCTATTCCTATAATATAAAGTACTCACAGCTATTGTAACATCATCAAAATAGCTGTGTGTTAGTTGTGACTTGTTTGTATGGATATTTGTGTTGAAGGGGCAAAAGTAGCCACATAAAAATTCAAATATCTTTTGCACACTCTCTTTCTAATGTCTTTTCAATATGTAATTTTCAGTAATGTTTCCCTATTCACGGCGGGCATATGTTAATATGTCCAACGTTTATGTGGCATGAACACACTGGTAATGTTAATATGTTCAGAAAAACGACATCACCAATGTGTGCATTCCACATAAACGATGGACACAGTAACATATGTCCATCATTGATAGGGGAGTATTACTCTATAATTCCCGATAAAAATTTGATGCTACCTTTATAGACACTTATCACAAAAAAAAAAAAGGAAAAAAAAAAAAGAAGAGAAACCCACATAAACACATACGAATGTATATACATCGTGTGATGTTGAAGTAGAAACCCACATAAATTATTTATCCGATATAAAAAACGGTCTTTCTATACAGGCGCGATCTCGAATTTGGCTTTTCATATGCAGTTATTATATGGGTTTTATTTTTAACCGATATACAAAGTTTACTTTCTATATGGGTTATGAACCGATATAAAAAGGTTCCACTTATTATATGGTCTGCAACTATATGAGTATGAAAACCGATATAGAAAGTCATTTTCACCCTATATAAAAACCGTTTTTTCTACTAGTGAAACTTCCCCTAATTCACTTGGATGGATTGTGAAACAAAAATCATATTAACATAATTAAACTTTTTATTTATTTATTTATTTATTTATTTTTATTTTTTTTTTTGACAAAAGGGGATAGTAATTAAAGGTTTCAACCATGTTAACATAGAGAAAGAAATGACACTGAAGTTTCCTCTTCCCACAATTAATTTCCATGGATACAATTCACTTTCACAAATTGACAAAGTTTGCTTGTCCTCCGCTTCTAATAACAGCATTCACAATGCTTTGGGTTCAATAACAAAAAATTATATGTCACATAAAAATGGATGTAGTCTAAAAAAATACATTCTCCAATGCAAACAAATGTAAACTGGGTCCTACTGATATGACAGTCAGAAAAAGAGACTCGGTCTACCTTTAAGTTATTTTAGACCCAAGTATAGACTTAGTCTCTTTGCATTGAAGAGAATTTTATTAATTTTACATATTTTTATCCATGTCATCCAAGACTTGTGCTTATTTACATGTTATATAGGCAAGACTAGACCCAATGTACAAGACGTACAAAATAGCTCACTAAAAAACAAATAGTTCACTAAAATAGTTTCCATGCAGGGGCGAAACCAGAAAATTGGTTGAGAGGGGGCAAAAGACATGACATATTGGGTTCATAACCAATACTGAACCGACAACATTTCGGTAATCGATTCTCAGTTACCGTTACATATAAGTCGGTTCGGTTCGGTTTATTTTCTCATCGGTTAGGTTAGTTTCTAGTTTTCAGGGCAATAAAAGAGAGTTGAAGTATTTTTATATGGCCCAATTAAAAAATTATAGAATGATAATAATTAATATACAAAATTAATAGTAAAATAAAAGAAGTGTTGAATTGTTAATTGACAGTCGTGAACATTTAAAAACAAAAAATTTAGGGAGTGCAAAAATAAATTTGAAGGGGCAAATAAAATTTTTAATATTAATAGTATAAAAAATCAAAATTTGAGGGGGGGACTCATGAATGTAAATTCGCCCATGTTTCCATGGATACTATCAAACGTTATAAAAAACAAATAGTTTACTAAAACTGTGTTTGATAAGCATACAAGGTAATTTATAATTTATTTGATTAGTTTAAAAGATTTATGCATTCAAATAAGTTTGGTTTAGTATGACCAATTTTTTTTTTAAAAAAAAGAAGTTCGAGTTTATTTCATAATTTTTTGGGTAGTTTTTTTTAAAAAAGTCAATTAAAATTTTTATTTCAACTAACTTATCAACTAATTTGACCAAACATATTTATCATACAAGTAAATTTGGGAGCCACAAATCATAAGTTATCTCTCGAAATTCACTGAAGAAAAATTATAAGTTAAAGGTTTACCAAACATAGCCTAAATAAATGTCCACCGAATTTTCGCAACCGATTGTTTTGTTTCCATCACGAGCAATATTACGTGATTTATTTTTTTTAATTAAAAAAAAAAAAGAAAAAAAAAATGGGG